AGAGAGAGAGAGAGAGAGAGAGAGAGAGAGACAGAGAGAGAGAGAGCGCTTTACTCGAACGCAACCAACGCTCGCTGTTGTTTCGTCAGGAGACGACATCTTTCACCACGGCGGGGCAATTGCCCTTTTGGACGCGGAGCACGCATGGATGCAAAAAGGATGCAATGCACGGGGTGAAAAAGATGCACGGCAACATGTTCCTTCCGTTCGCCTGTTGATGTTGGTGTATCATTTGCACCAGGACGTTGCTGGCTGCGGATTGATGTGATTTTGCTCCGCGATCGAACATACAGTGCCACCGATTGTGAGCCCGATTTTAGTTGACCGGTCATAACTTTTGACTGCGGTCATGGATTTCGACATTTTTCTTCTGTTGTTGTTGTTGTTGTTGTTGTTGTTGTTGTTGTTGTTGTTAATGTTGTTATTCTTCATTTAACTCGTGTCAGTTGCTAATCCCAAAATCTAGCCAAGACTCGGTCCGTGGTCACAAAAATGCTAGAACCATCAGAAGATCTGAACACACACACTATAAGCAAGGAATGGGTACACAAGCCCGAGGAGGTACACTTACAATCCCTGCAGCACGTTTGCGTGCTCACAACTGAACTACACGCCCACACACTACAATTCGACCACAGTAGCAGCATCACCCCCCTTGTCCCGCATTTAACCAACATGAATGTTTGTCGATTACAGCGTACTGCTGTCTGAACTGTCGTCTGTACAATGATAACACCATGGTGCATGGTACACAAGCTCGGGGCATGGAGCTGCTGTCTGAAGTGCTGTCAGAATGAGTCCGTGGACATACAATGAAGAAGAACACCCAACCAAAGCCATCATTGCAATTGACAATCACCCCAATCTATCCAGATCATCTGTGTTAGGCACAGCAGTGTAAACATCGACACTGACTAGGAATTGTTCCACATTNCCAGTCGGTTCCTCGCTTTCTCCCTCGTTGCACTTCGGGTTCTTGGTCTGAAGATTCTCGCGCCGAAGGGTCAACCAGCCCAATCAGCTCGTCACCACCCGTCCCCTCCTCCTTTGATGGCACAACCAGGTTACTGAGTACAGTACAGTTCCCCTAGCAAACCTAGGGCCGTATACATAGTGCCCGTCTACCTTTCTGATGACGTCTGCCTCCGCGCACAATGCTGATATGGGCATTGCTGCCTTCACCGACGGCCTGGAGGCCCGCGCATCTGCACCTTTGTACCTGACGCACCAGTGCCGACCCAACTCCACCACCACGCACGCCTCGCGGCGGGTGCGCCACAGCAAGAAGGTATCGGTCCCTTGAGGGTGAGTCTAGCCCTGCTCGCTAGGACGACCCCCCCCTCGCTATAGGTCATGCCTACGCAAAACCTTGCCGAGGCAGCGAGGGGAAGAAGGGGAAATACGTGTTGCCCATGATGGCCTTGATAAGGCCCAGTAACAACAAAAATTAAATGAGTATGAAGAAAATAGTATACATCTTCCCCTCGCTGCCTCGGCAAGGTTTTGCGTAGGCATGACCCTTAGCGAGGGGGGGGGGCTTTCTAGCGAGCAGGGCTAGACTCACCCTCA